TATCAAAGCTAAAGGGGGTCCAACTAACTATTAGAGTGTGCAAATATTTTCTTAGACTCCAACACATCCTAAAGACTTTCAATGGGGTAAAGTCCGCAGGTCTCTGTGGTGGCCAATCTTTCACAATTGAAGCCTGATAAATCTTGGTATTGTCATTCTGGAATATAGACACAAGTACATCTTCTGACATGGTTGTTTGAGAAATAGAAATTTACGCACTACATCAGTTAGAGTGAAAATAATTGTTGCCAAATTTTACAACATGCCAGAAACATATTAATCATTTCAACAATGATTCAGTCCTAAAACCTTAAAATTGCAGTCCGTAAGTTTTGCCTCTTTGTCGGCATCTCTGTTTGAAAACCTGCAATTGCAGCTGTGTGCGGAATTATCTTCCTTGCGTGGGTTGTGCTTCGACACGGCTCCAGCGCGGATTAATCTAATGTTTTGAAGAGTATGTGTGGCAGTCAGTCACCGCACCGGTGTGGATATTGTACTTTGCACTCACAGATTCTAGTCTACGTCTTGGAATATATGACCCAAATAAGCATTTTCACCGGATATTGTCATCTGAATAAGTAACAAGTCTGCCACGTTTGTTCTGACCAACTAAGGAAAAAAGCATTACAATAAATCGCACTACCAATGATGATTTAATCTAAATTAGCTCATATCACAACAAACCGTTCAAATTATTATTATTGTTATACTTTATTCTCAAATTGTTAAAGTTAACAACATCAGCATTTGTGACTATGAGTATAGTGTGTGTATAAGCGAGTAGATTTCAATTTCTGTACGGTCTAATTTCTAATTGTCATACTCTTCGAATTTAATATTAAGAAATTATTTTAACCCAAAAAGCTAATTATGCTCCCTTCAAACTGGTTGTCTTTAAAATACAAATCTTGTGTAAACCCATCTGTAATCAGAAGCACATTTAAAACTGGAATATAATTTAATTTCATTCACATGTGTTTCATAAACACATAATCCTTTCTGGATTACAATCTGCCATCAAAATGGTACCTTTAATTATTCCAGTTGCTGAGAGAAAAGGCTATAAACGATCCTCCACCTGCAGGATTCTCACATGATATAGCATAGTAGCCGGGACTCAATCTTTATGTTTACAGACGTGACGTAATGACGCAGTGCCATGCTCGAATTTCCCGCGAAAACCTACCCATACCACTCAAATTAGAAAACATTATTATGAGATAACCGTTGTGAATCGGGCTAAAATAAGGCGATAGTTTTGAACACTGGCTTATGTACTTGCTCAAATATTGATTTTGGATGATAATGTGAGTAATGTGTTTTTTGTTTAGAAGTGAGACTGCTGATATGGGGAGAATAAACACTATTTACATATGTAATGATTGTGTAATTATCATTCATTTGAAACAAGGTATTAAAAAGCAGAACCACCAAACTCTTGGTATGGGTATCACAGATGTCATTCTAAATAATCAGTATCAGTGCCTAAAAGTTCCCTAATGAGTGTTGTATGAGAATTAAAGAACTTGGCATTAAGATGCCAAACACCTCATCTTGGATGTAAACGACAGTAGGAAATTTAATTTAAATTTAATTCAAGTAGGAAAAGACTAACATGTTTTATGAAACCAAACCTGGTTCTTAAGCGATATGGGTTAAGTTGTATCGTCAGAATTTCCCATCATGCTTTCAGTTTGTTCAGCTGGTAAACTGAAGCTTCCTCTAAAAACTACACCATCTGGCTCTCATGAGCATTTGATCACAGTATTGAGTCAGAAAGTATTTCTAACCAGCATGCACCTTGTGATGATGAGCTTATTGCTAGTGTGGTGATCTACTGGTTTAGCAACAAGAAATTAATGGAAATTATTTCTGTTTCTACAGATTCTACTTCATCTGTGTGTCTGCAGTGCTGATACACAAAGGTGAGCATCTGAATAACACATTTAATATTCATGTAAAACATTTACTGGATTGTAATATTTCTAGATTGTTTTATTCTGTTTATTCCCTTGAAAATGTTTTAAACAAGTTCATACCTGTTTTAGAATTTTTAGCAAATGTGTCAAATATATTTTGTATTTAAAATGTAACTAAAGTATGTTTTTTTTTTTTTTGCCATGAATTGCCAAATAATCTGGAATGGCAATAAAACAAACAAACAAAAAAATAAATGTGTATGAATGTTATATTGTGTATTAACAGTTACAGTTTGTGTGATTTCAGTGTCTCTGCAGGTCCCAGGTGTTATTGGTGGTTCTGTTGTCCTGCCGTGTTCTTCAACTGAACCTGATCAAGACACTGAAGTGCATTGGAGACAGAATGGTAGCAAGATTGTGTATGATATAATCAAGGGTGAAGATTCAGTAGAGCAACAGGACCCACGATACAAGAACAGAGCTGAAACTTTCCCTGAAGAGTATAAGAGAGGAAACTTCTCCATCAAACTCAACGATCTTCAACACACTGATGCAGGAAAATACATGTGTCTCATCGCACACTCATCTGAACATAAGACTGTGGAGCTGATCATCAACGGTGTGTAGTAATGGTTGATTGATATATTAATAAAAAAAAAAAGTTTGCCATTAACGTTTTGTTCAGTCTGAATGCTGCTGTATAAACATTACAGACAGATCTGTTGCATTTGTCACATTGCAGCAATCTTTTTCTTTCTTTCATTCTTTTTTTCTATCTTTGCAGAGCCAACAACAGAAAATGGAACTAAATCAGCTGATCAAGAAAATGTGGTGACATCGTCGTCTTTGCTCTGGGTTTACATCATAGTAG